AAAAGCTGCCCCAAGGCCACATCCATCGCTTCTTCTGGGCGGTCCAGCCTGCCGTTCGCCAGGCGTTACACGCTTCAAACCCTTCAAACGCTGCTTAATCCCGCAGCCAACAGGGCTTCTTATGGGCGTCCAAGCCTGCCGTTTGCCAGCCCTTAAGCTTCAAACCCATCCCGGAGCCAACAGGCACCCCAACGCCACATCAATGGCTTCTTATGGGTGTTCAAGCTTGCCGTTAAACATGCTCTTGGCATGCTCAATCCCGCAGCCAACAGGCAACCCAAGGCCACATCAATGGTTTCTTTTGGGCGTCCAAGCCTGCCGTTAAACATGCTCTTGGCATGCTTAATCCCGCAGCCAACAGGCACCCCAAGGCCACATCAATGGCTTCTTATGGGCGTCCAAGCCTGCCGTTTGCCAGCCCTTAAACCGACCCCGCTTCTTCTGGGCGGTCCAGCCTGCCGTTCGCCACGCCTTACACGCTTCAAACCCATCCCGCAGCCAACAGGCACCCCAAGGCCACATCAATAGCTTCTTATGGGCGCCCAAGCCTGCCGTTTGCCAGCCCTTAAACCATTAAAACGCTGAAAACGCTTCCTTAAAACTGTGCAAAAGCTTCTCCGAACGTCCAACTGCGCAGGGAAAAGCTGCCCGAGGCCGCTTCTTCTGGGAGGTCCAGCCTGCCGTTCGCCAGGCGTTACACGCTTCAAACCCTTCAAACGCTTGAACATGCTCTTGGCATGCTTAATCCCGCAGCCAACAGGCACCCCAAGGCCACATCAATATTGTGCGCGTCCAAGCCTGCCGTTTGCCAGCCCTTGAACCGACCCGCTTCTTCTGGGCGGTCCAGCCTGCCGTTCGCCAGGAGTTACACGCTTCAAACCCATTCCGCAGCCAACAGGCACCCCAAGGGCACATCAATTGCTTCTTATGGGCATCCAAGCCTGCCGTTTGCCAGCCCTTAAACCGACCCTGCTTCTTCTGGGCGGTCCAGCCTGCCGTTCGCCAGGCCTTACACGCTTCAAACCCATCCCGCAGCCAACAGGCACCCCAAGGCCACATCAATGGCTTCTTATGGGCGTCCCAAGCCTGCCGTTTGCCAGCCCTGAAACCCTTAAAACGCTTAAAAACCCTTAAATTCTTAAAACTCTTAAAAACCTTAAAACTGTGCAAAAGCTTCTCGGAACGTCCAACCGCGCAGGCAAAAGCTGCCACAAGGCCACATCCATCGCTTCTTCTGGGCGGTCCAGCCTGCCGTTCGCCAGCCGTTACACGCTTCAAACCCTTCAAACGCTTAAACATTCTCTTGGCATGCTTAATCCCGCAGCCAACAGGCACCCCAAGGCCACATCAATGGCTTCTTATGGGCGCCCAAGCCTGCCGTTTGCCAGCCCTTAAACCCTTAAAACGTTTAAAAAACCCTGAAACCCTTAAAACCTTAAAACTGTGCAAAAGCTGCTCGGAACGCCCAATTGCGCAGGCAAAAGCTGCCCCAAGGCCACATCCATCGCTTCTTCTGGGCGGTCCAGCCTGCCGTTCGCCAGGCGTTACACGCTTCAAACCCTTCAAACGCTGCTTAATCCCGCAGCCAACAGGGCTTCTTATGGGCGTCCAAGCCTGCCGTTTGCCAGCCCTTAAGCTTCAAACCCATCCCGGAGCCAACAGGCACCCCAAGGCCACATCAATGGCTTCTTATGGGCGTCCAAGCCTGCCGTTTGCCAGCCCTTAAACCGACCCCGCTTCTTCTGGGCGGTCCAGCCTGCCGTTCGCCACGCCTTACACGCTTCAAACCCATCCCGCAGCCAACAGGCACCCCAAGGCCACATCAATAGCTTCTTATGGGCGCCCAAGCCTGCCGTTTGCCAGCCCTTAAACCATTAAAACGCTGAAAACGCTTCCTTAAAACTGTGCAAAAGCTTCTCCGAACGTCCAACTGCGCAGGGAAAAGCTGCCCGAGGCCGCTTCTTCTGGGAGGTCCAGCCTGCCGTTCGCCAGGCGTTACACGCTTCAAACCCTTCAAACGCTTAAACATGCTCTTGGCATGCTTAATCCCGCAGCCAACAGGCACCCCAAGGCCACATCAATATTGTGCGTGTCCAAGCCTGCCGTTTGCCAGCCCTTGAACCGACCCGCTTCTTCTGGGCGGTCCAGCCTGCCGTTCGCCAGGAGTTACACGCTTCAAACCCATTCCGCAGCCAACAGGCACCCCAAGGGCACATCAATTGCTTCTTATGGGCATCCAAGCCTGCCGTTTGCCAGCCCTTAAACCGACCCTGCTTCTTCTGGGCGGTCCAGCCTGCCGTTCGCCAGGCCTTACACGCTTCAAACCCATCCCGCAGCCAACAGGCACCCCAAGGCCACATCAATGGCTTCTTATGGGCGTCCCAAGCCTGCCGTTTGCCAGCCCTTAAACCCTTAAAACGCTTAAAAACCCTTAAAACCCTGAAAACCATTAAAACCTTTAAAACTGTGCAAAACTTCTCGGAACGCCCAACCGCGCAGGCAAAAGCTGCCCCAAGGCCACATCCATCGCTTCTTCTGGGCGGTCCAGCCTGCCGTTCGTCAGGTGTTACACGCTTCAAACCCTTCAAACGCTTAAACATTCTCTTGGCATGCTTAATCCCGCAGCCAACAGGCACCCCAAGGCCACATCAGTGGCTTCTTATGGGCGTCCAAGCCTGCCGTTTGCCAGCCCTTAAACCCTTAAAACGCTTAAAAACTCTTAAAACCCTTAAAACTGTGCAAAAGCTTCTCGGAACGCTCACCCGCGCAGGCAAAAGCTGCCCCAAGGCCACATCCATCGCTTCTTCTGGGCGGTCCAGCCTGCCGTTCGCCAGCCGTTACACGCTTCAAACCCATCCCGCAGCCAACAGGCGCCCCAAGGCCACATCAATGGCTTCTTATGGGCGTCCAAGCAAGTCATCGTCATCGTCATCGTCATCATCATCATCATCATCATCCTCATCGTCATCGTCATCGTCATCATCATCATCATCATCATCACCATCATCATCACCATCATCACCATCACCATCACCATCACCATCATCATCATCATCACCATCATCATCATCATCATCATCATTCTCTTCATCATCATGATCATCATGATCATCACCATCATCTTCATCATCACCAATCAAACATGCACCGCACCAACCACCTTCAGCCCAACCCCCCAGAAGGGGGGTCGGCGGCACCCGGGCGCTAGCCCATTCTAAAATCCGGCGACGCCGTTTGTGGTGGAAGCTAAGCATAGCTTTAGCTACCCGGGGGCGCGCGCCTGCCGCCGACCCTCCCCAAAAATCCTTGAGCCTGGTGGGGTTTTCACGTTTTTCGGGGTCTGGGGTGGACAAAAAGAGGGTGAAATTTGAAGATGCGTTTTGGAGGTCCTAAAATCGGAAAAAAGTGCCGTTTTGACACATTTTTCGGACGATTTTTCGCTTTTCGGAAGTCACAAAATGCTGTAAATTACAACATTTTTGCGTTTTAACGTCGTTGGCGGGAGCCATGCAAAAACGCAGAAAATGCTGTAAATACCAGTACTTTTTGGACCCGAGATGCACAAAACACTGCAAATACCAGTGTTTTTGAACGCCAAGCAAAAAAACACTGTAAATTACAGCATTTTTGGCGGGTTGATCGCAAAAAATGCTGGTATTTGCAATGTTTCTGCAATTTCAAGCAAACGTGGAAGGCACGAAACACGGTAAATAGCGGTGTTTTGGCAACTTTTGGACGCCGAAACGCTGGTATTTACGAATTTTTTTGCTTGTGACGGGGCCACTCCCCTGTAAATTACAGCAGTTTTTGCGCTTTTTGAACCGATTTTTTGTCTTGATGAATGCAAAAAACGCTGGTATTTACACGTTTTTCAAAAAGTCGAAGATCGTGATGTGAACGAAACTCTGTAAATAAGAGTGTTTTAGCCACTTTCGGGGACTAAAACTGTTGTATTTACACGGGTTCTTGCCATCTCACAGCGCAAAATGCTGTAAATTACAACACTTTGTGCGCATAGGCATAGGCCAACATAACCTCAAGATGGGCCAACATAGCCCCAAGCTGGGCCAACATAGCCCCAAGATAGGCCGCCGACCCTCAGCATGTCATGTTCGCAAGTTCAGATGACATCCCCCTCTCTCTTTCCCTCCCCCGACCCCTACCGGCGTCGCCGGTGTGCGAAGCTCTACAATATAATAAAAAAAATATAATATGATGAGCCACGAACGAAGTTTTTCGCCTGTTCAAACGTTCTACACACACAAACAAACACAAACACACACACAAACAAACAAACAAACAAACAATCAAACAAACAAACAAACTAACTAACAAACAAACAAAACACACGCACAAAAACAAACAAACAAACAAACAAACAAACAAACAAACAAACAAGCAAGCAAGCAAACAAACACACACAAACAAACACACACAAACAAACACACACAAACAAACACACACACACAAACACAAACACACACCACACACCGCACAACACACAACGCGACGCAACACAACGCGCAGAGTTGGCAGCTCTCTCCGCACGGGCGGGGCGAGGGGTTAGAGTTAGATACGGATCCACAGGCATCGCGGAACAAGGTTTCCAATGACACGGCGTGACCAGAATAACCGGCCACATACAGGTTGGAAAGTCATCACGTCCAAGCAACTACTACACGCAAAAGGCCGCACTTGCGCAGCAATTTAAGACGACACATGCAACATTCGGATGCAGATTTGAAATGTTTGCAAAGTCAATAAGGCTACTCTCAGTCTACTGGGCGTGACAAACACTTTGCGACATTTGACTCCACATACGTTCTTGTTGCAACAACACGGCTTGACATACTACACACGACCGGGATGCAAATTCGAAAGGATCCATCCCTTTAAGGACAAAAAATCACCCTCATATTGCGCCTCCCACGCACTCTGATGTATTCAACCCCTCACGCATGCGCTTGAAGTGATGATAGATCAGCTTCAGACAAGGCTGTCTATCCTATGCAACAAAGAAGGGGCAGGGTCCAATGCGATAGGCATGCCACCATGCTTCTGTTAATGGTTCCATGCAGACTAGTGCGGCCGGGAAGTGCCTCACTCACTCCCTCCCCAAAAAGGCAAAATAAGGATTCCAAATGCTCGGCCAAGATTCTTGAACTCCAGTATGTGTAAACTTCACGGGCTTCTGGATTGCCGTGACGGAAAGCATCAACCAAGTCTAACCTAAAAGGCCGTCTTTTCAAACATGGGCAAACTGCTGCACCTGTGACCAACTTGAACGGCTGATGAACGCAGCCACGCGACTCTTTGAGTAGATTCGCAAAGCTCTCACGCTCTGGGGCCGTTGTTCCGGCTTGTCGTTTAATTTGGTGTGCTTCAGGGTTCCATATGTCAATATCCTGGCCGGCAAGCAAACGAGCAGGAAACAAAGCTTCCTGGAAATTGCATGAATTTACGTCGTTGGAATCTGCCAGCATCGTCCAGAAGCTTGGCTAGCCCTAGCTGCAGGGGGTGGGCATTTTTGTTTCATGCTTCCAACCCTTGGAAAGCGTTGTCGCCAATACACATGCGAGCACCTGTCCCGTTCAGTGCGCATGCCAGCGCCATTGCCCCCAAGCGGACCATGTGGTTATCCCATGTCTAGAATCGGCTGCGCGCAAACTTTCAGAGTTGTTGGCAAATTTCAAGAAGTTTGAACTCGTTTGTGGAAATATTGCGCAAGTCTGGTGTGAGGTGGGCATTGTTGAAACGATCATAAGTAGCAAACAAGGCTTCAATTTTTCCACCCTGTCTTACCTTTCATGACCCTTCGCGGTTTTAAACCAGCACACGCACACGCTGGGTTGTCGGTGGAACCATCGGCCGCATGCACATGATCCTGAGCGGTTTCATGGACAGGCTGCGCAATGTCTGAAGGCTGACCGTCTTGTCCTTCGGCCAAAATGCGTCGAACCCCACCAACATCACTTGCCTCAATGGCATTGATCAGATCCGCTGCTAGGCGCCGCGCCTCCGGCTTTCTGACAACTTGCAAGGCTTGTGGACGGCCGAGATCCCCCCATGTTGCTGAATCGTGCAACATCCCGCCGCTGTTGCAGGCCAACGCATCAAAGCAATAGAAGCGAGCCTTGCAAGACCTGGCTGCTGCGGAACGCACCAAGTCAGGCAATCTGGAGCCCGTTTCCTCAGGCTCTACGAAGCAAGGGAACAAGAACTCACCGGTCAAGGCTGGCACAATGGAAATCTCACTTCCACCGCATACATCATGAGAAACATCAATGAATGATTGAAACCTCTGCTTCCATGCGGGGCACCTCGTCAATAGAAGGCTGCAGTCGGTTTTTCAGCCACCAGCATTCTGGAAACGTGAGAACCATAGTACTTCTGGATCAAGTATTTGTACATGTTTAACTGCAGCCTGCAATGAAAGCCAGCGCAGTCTGGCACGTGATCCCAAGGTGGAAGCATGTTCCGAAGGGAGGTGTATTTCTCCTGCAAGTTCGATGACCTTTTCCAATCAGTTAAAGCCAAGCTGCCAGTCGCATCTGTGACGCAAAAATCAATGGAACCAGCAATCCTTAGTTTCATCCTCGCCAAAGATCACCCATTCAGTGCGATATGCACGCCGCCCCGGCATTTTGCTCAAAACAATTATCCCCGCAAGAGACCCCAAACAGTGTTGGGGGGGGGAGTGGGAGGATAATGTATTTTAATGTGGATGATGATGATGGTGATGATGATGATGATGATGATGATGCTGATGCTGATGCTGATGCTGATGATAATGTTGTTGTTGTTGCTGTTCTTGTTCTTGTTGTTGTTGATGATGATGATGTTGCAGACGATGATGTTGAGGATAATGATTGTCGAGGATGGGATGATGTGGAGGATGATGATGTCGAGGAGGATGAGGATGAGGATGATGATGTTGAGGAGGATGAGCTGAGGATGATGATGCGGAAGATGAAGTGGAGGAGGACAGGGTGCAGGATGATGATGTTCAGAAGGGGGAAGATCATGATGTTGAGGATGATGATGTCATGAGGAGCATGATGTTGCGGAAGACGAGGCGGAGGATGATGATGTTGAGGAGGATGATGTTGAGGATGATGAGGTTGAGGATGATGATGATGATGATGATGTTGATGATGTTGAGAATGATGATGTTGAGGAGGAAGAAGATGATATGTGGGGGATGTTGTTGATGAGGAGGAGGACCGATCCCAAGACCTACACACTTTGTGCAAGCCTGCGCGGTCGAAATGCACGTCAACATTTCACAAGAGTCACTTCACACGGAAATTTACAGGAAAAATGCTCAGGCCCGGAATCAAGGCGCACACTCTGCGTGAGCCTGCGCCGTGGACATGCACGTCAACATTTCACAAGAGCCACTTTATACGGAAATTTACGGCAAAAGTGCTCGGGCCCGGAACCTGGGACCACACTTTGTGCGTGCCTGCGCAGTCAACATGCACTTCAACATGTCACAAGAGCAACTTTTTATGGAAATTTACAGGGAAAATGCTCGGGCCCAGAGTGAGCACCCTGATCAAGCACCGGCCTTTACTCCTACCGTAACAAACCCTCAGTGTGGACACGCTGTTTGGGGAACTTCCAGCATAGCAAACTCGGGGCTAGTTTTGGGAACTGCAAAACAGTTCAGGTGTGCTTCAAACAGGATATGCATGTATGTGCCACACAGCGCCACGTCACCCCGATTGACCTCATGTTTGCGTTTGATTTCGTCAGGACGCAAGACCAAATCACATGCAATATCTGGAAAGGCAGCTCTTAATCCCTGGGCTCGTTCGCAAATCCACGGGTCGTTGCGGGGAGATTCAAAATTCAAACAATGCCAGAAAAGCAAGGCCGGATCCATTTGCAGAATTTGCCAGGTAAGTTGGGGCGCACATAGCCTGGGCGAGGCCACCTGTTGCTGCTCGCAATGGCTTTCTCAGCATCGAAGGGTTGGGCAAACTTGCGGATCAGAGAAGTGACGGAACCACGTGTCCGCAAGCGATGGGCAAAATAAAGATGTCCTTCCGACAAAAATTGCGCATCATGGTCTCAAACACGTGGATGCAACCATGCTAAGGCTGTAATCTCTAGGCAAGGAACAACATGTTCATGTCTGCAAGGAACCAGGCCATGAACTCAATCTGCCCGAGCTGGTAACTCAATTCTAATTCCATTCGTCGATTGCGCCAACTTCATCATTTTGCAGGAACGGGCCACGCCCCTGTTGTCATTGATTTTATTACCAGAGAAATAAATGATTCAAATCAATTCAATATTAAACTGATTTAGTTGATTTAATTAGCCGCGGAATTAAATCAATTCAGTCCATGAAAAACTGAAATTATTTGACTGATTTAATGGATTTAATTAAGTGGAAAAAAAAGGAATTTTAACGAAATATTAGTTTGATTTAATTGACTTAATTCTCCGGCTACTTAAATGAACTAAATATTTCATTGGCGTAATTGCTATTGTATAATTGCTTTAGTTCATTCAATTTGTTTAGTTAATTAAATACTTAAACGTTTGACTATGTTTTCTTTCTCTTCAATAGATAAAATCAATTAAATCATTGAAATATTGAGATGAGTTAACTGGTTTAATTCTCCGGGTAATTAGATCAATTAAATCAAATGAATATATATATATACTTATATAATTTGTTTAATTGATTTACTTCTCCAGCTAATTAAATCAATTAAAATTTGAATTGGTTCATTTACATCACCGGCTAATCAAATCAATCAATTTTTTTTGACCTGATTTAATTGATGTAATTCATTTGATTGATTTAGCTAATTAAAAAACCAAAGGTTTTATTCTCTTTTTTCACTTTTCGGACCATTTGATTAATGAAACTATTATCCCAGCAAGAGGCCCCAAACAGTGTGCTTTAGGACATGAAGGGTAAGTCAAGGGAGGAGAAACAGAAGAGGAGACATGAATCAATTGGGGCTTTTAGCTCCGCGACTCGCGTCGCGTCTGGTGCCGGCATGCAGAAGGAGCTGTGTTCACCCAGCGTCTCTTGCACAGTGGAAGGTGTTCCAGCAAAGAACCAAAAGTGACGGGCGGGATCTTCCGCCGCACACCATCCTGTAGCTGTTCTTTTGACAGCCACTGTTGCCCGACCCTTGCGCAAAGTCCTAGCGGTTGCAATCGCTCCGCAACTGCAGTGCACCAGCGGACAAGCTGTGCGGCAAGGATCGAACTGATACTGCAGCACGTTCCTGCAATGCACAGGGAGTCAAAAACCGCAAAAGGCAGTATGCTCAACAGGATGTCCAGGCAGCAAATCGCCCAACGTGCACTGCGCCATGTGGACAGCACGCACGGTGTGAGAATGACAATGCTGCAATGTAGCCAGTGGCGCGGCTGCTCACCTACAATCTTGTCATGTGCTGGTCATGTATTGTCGTGCTTGCAAATACTGTGACTGCAAATCATCCTCACGCGTGCAAGCGAGGAGGAGCAGCAACAGCCCAACAGAGTGTCATTCGAGAAGCATCGAATAAAACAGTGCGCATGTAGGATTCTAAAGGGAAAGGTGGAAAGGACCTATAATCAGCACTGACAAGAGCAACCTTAAGAGGGAAACAAATTAGATACCAGGTCAGATTCTGCAAGCTCCCTTTGTGAAGATCTCTGTAGAAGAGGTTCTGTGTAGAAGCTGCTATGCAAGATCCCTGTGTAGGGCTATCTGTACAAAGTGCCCAAACGAGATCTCCACAGAAGATCTTTGTAAGGGATCTCAAAAGAAGATCTCTGTTCAAGGTATCTAGAAAAGATCTCCGAGGAAGACCTATGCTCTCATCACCAGGTCTCTGCACAAGATCTCCATAAGAGGTCTCATGGCAAGATCTGTGTACAAGATCTCTACAGGAGCTCTGTTGGCAAGATCTCTGAGAAGCGTCTCTTGGCAAGATCTCTGTATAAGCTCTCTCTAAGAAGTCTCTTGCACAATCCTGCGCGGTCGAAAGGCACATGGGCATTTCACAACAGCCATTTTGTGTGGAAATTTACAGGAACAGCGCCGGACGCTACTCCCGCGACATCTGTTTTGTGCAAGCCTCTGCGCAGTCGATGGAAATTTAACGGAAAAATGCCAAACGCTAATCCCGCGACACTCGTTTTGTGCGAGCCTGCGCGCTCAAAAGACACATGAACATTTCGCGAGAGCTATTTTGTGGAAATTTACAGGAGCAGTGCCGTACGCCAATCCCGCGACACCCGTTTTGTGCGAGCCTGCGCAGGCCAAATGCACATGGACATTTCACAAGAGCCATTTTGTGAGGCCGCACGCCAATCCCGCGACACCCGTTTCGCGCGAGCCTGCGCAGTCGAAATGCACACGGCGACCGAGATGGCTGGTGAGCTCATCTGCGGGACTACAACATGGAGGAGCTCTACTGAGAGCCGGGAATTGGAGCCTTGAGCTGAGGCTTAGATGCGAGCGCTACCCATGCTGCTTGTGCAAGCGGTTTTTGGGGGTGCGCTATGTAGAAAGTTTTGAACTAAGCGTTCAAAGGGGGAGTGTGGAAGATAAGCCTAACAACTACTTGGCTGAGTACACACAGAACCTCCTGAGCTACGCAGGCTCTTTTTGTGCCCAAAGTAAAACAGTTGCTGCGCCACTTCGCCTGGGATTCATCCCGTGAATCTACAGATTTAATTGATTTAAGCCTCCGGGTAATTATATTTAAAGCAATTATACCAGTAGTACCGCACAAGGCGGTGGCGGAAGTTTCAAACATAGGAAACCTATAGGAGAGGTTGGTTGTGGTGAATCAGGGATGGCAGAGCGAAGCCACTGATGGATCGAAAGGTGATTGACCTCTCTCACTCTTTCTCTCTCTTTCTCTGACTACCTGTCTGTCTATCTATTTACCTATCTATCGAGCTATCTATCTATCTAGCTATCTATCTATCTATCTGTCTGTCTATCTGTCTGTCTGTCTATCTGTCTACCTGTCTATCTGTCTATCTGTCTATCCATCTATCTATCTATCTGTCTATCTGTCTACCTGTCTATCTGTCTATCTATCTATCTTTCTATCTGTCTACCTGTCTATCTGTGGTGCAGTGTCATTCAGTGTAGTGTAGTGTAGTGTAGTGGAGTGGAGTGGAGTGGTGTGTAGTGGAAGGTAGCGGAAGGTAGTGGAAGGTAGTGTAGTGTAGTGTAGTGGAATGTAGTGTAGTGTAGTGTATCGCAGTGTAGTGTTGTGTAGTGTAGTGGAAGGTAGTGGAATGTAGTGTAGTGTAGCGTAGTGTAATTGAGTGTAGTGTAGTGGAGTGGAATGTAGTGTAGTGTAGTGTAGCGTAGTGTAACGTAGTGTAGTGTAATGTAGTGTAATTGGGTGTAATTGAGTGCAGTGTAGTGTAGTGGAGTGTAGTGTAGTAGAATGTAGTGAAGGTGTAGTTGTAGTTGTAGTGTTGTGTAATGTATTGCTGGAGTGTAGTGTAATGTAGTAGTGGTTGTAGTTGAAAATTCTACAAGACCCTCACGTTTTGCTCACTTTTGACAAGGTTCACAATCCCTTGCGCCATCCCTTGCGCCTGCCACGCGAAATGACATCTGAACCTCCAAAAGTGGTCCGAACCCCTAGTGTTTTTACATTTTGACTTCGAAATGTGCTTCGCGCCACAACGGCGTGCACTTTTTCGACATCTGAACCTCCAAAAATGGTCCGTACATGGTGTGTTTTGTACATTTTCACTTCGAAATGTGCTTCGCGCCACAACGGCGTGCACTTTTTCGACATCTCAACTGCCAAAAGTGGTCCGCACCCCTAGTGTTTTGTACATTTTGACTTGGAAATGTGCTTCGCGCCACAACGGCGTGCAAATTTTCATCTCTCATCTGGCCAGCTGGCTCCGCACCCGCCGCTTTAGCGAGCCTACTTTTCGACCCTCCGGAGCCCCAAATCATTGGAAAAACACAGTGTTTCGCGACTTTCCTACCTTTTCTCGCATCTGCATCTTCTTTCTTCTTACTCTTTCTCTTCTGCTCTTCTTTCTTCTTACTCTTTCTCTTCTACTCTTCTTTCTTCTAATCTTTCTCTTCTCTCTGCCTCTTCCCTGCTCTGCTTTTCATCTGTCCATATTGTCGGAAGTTTGACTTCTAAACTTCCTTCGATAAATCAATTAAATCAATAGCATATCTAATTGATTTAATTCGCTGAATTGATTTATAATAATAAAAACACATAAAGATTTCACCTCCTCTTTTGTTGACCTTTCTACCAATTTAGTTCTTGAAATCAAGGACATGAATTATATAGATCAATTAAATACTTAATTGGTTTGACTGATTTAATTTGCCAGAAAACTAAACCATTCAGATCACTTAATTGTGAAATTTATGTACTTGATTTAATTAGCTGGAAAATCAACTGAATTAATTCCATTATATAAATATTTAACTGATCTACTTTATTTGAATCTCCCCCTAATGAAACAATTAAATCAACTAAATCAATGAAACATCTCATTGATTTACTTCGTTTAATTGATTTAGTTAGTTAAATATTAAAGATTTCACTTGCTCTTTTTTGTGACTTTTCTGCCTACTTAGTTAATTAAATCGAATACATGGCTTAAATCAATGAAATCAAAAATATAGTTACTTGATTTAAATTGGTTTAATTCATTCAATTGATTTAATCAACAAAATAGGCGGAAAAGTGAACAAACGAGAAAGTGAAATCTTTAAACATTTCATTAATGAAACCAATTGACCGAATTCAATCAATTAATTAGACATTTAATTGCTTTAATTGATGTAAATTATTTAATTAGCTCGAGAACTAAATCATTCAAATCAATTTATATAAATACTTAATTGGTTCAACTGATTGAATTAGCTGAAGAAATAAATCAAATAAATCAACGAAATCTCCACTTGATTTCATTGATTTAATTCATTTAACTGATTCAAGTAATTAAATATCTATACATGTCACTTTCTCTTTTTTGGACATTGCTGACTATTTAACACACCGACCCCTGCCTAGCTTTAGCCTAGGCGGGGCAGCGCCTGGGATCACCGCAGGTGTGCTGCATTGGACGTGGACCTTGCCATTTACTTTGCTTCCCTTCGGCCTTCCAAGCTGGTAGGTTCCGCTAGATCCTTCTCAAGCCTTCCAAGCTGCTAGGTTCTGCTTGAGCCTCGTTGCCCCAGCTTCTCAAACCTTCTAAGCTGCTAAGTTCTACTAGGGCCTCCTTGCCTCACCTTCTCCAGCCTTCCAAGCTGCCCGGCCATGAATCTATTACGGGTTTGGCCCTACTAGGGTTAATGCTTGCCCCGCCTTCCGGAGCCTTCCAAGCCGCTAGGTTCTACTAGGGCCTCCTTGCTCCACCGTCTCCAGCATTCCAAGTTGCCCGGTCATGTATCTATTAAGGGTTTCGAAACTGCCGTTTGGCAATTTTGGCTCTGCTAGGGTGTTTTGCCTCACCATTTCAGCCTTCCAAGCTGCATGGTCATGGGGGTTTCAAAACTGCCAAATGCAATTTTGGTTTTACTGGGACCAGCCCTTTCCCCACCTTCTGAAGCCTTCCAAGCTCCTAGGTTCCACAAGGGCCTCCTTGGCTCACCCCCTCCAGCCTTCGAAGCTGCCTGCATGGTCATGTATTTAGCAAAAGTTTCGAAACTGCCGTTTGGCAGTTTTGGTTCTACGAGGGCCAACCCTTGCCCCACCTTCTGAAGCCTTCCAAGCTGCTAGGTTCTATACTAGGGCCTCCTTGCTCCACCTTCTCCAGCATTCCAAGTTGCCCGGTCATGTATCTATTAAGGGTTTCGAAACTACCTTTTGGCAGTTTTGGTTCTACTAGGCCAAACTGCGCAAAACACTGGCTTTTTCACAAGTAAATGCCTCCTGTCTGTCTCCCGTCCCATTTTTTCTATTCCCTAATTCGCAACTTATTCCTAAGTGCACAAAACAGTGTGTTTTCACAGGTAAGTGCAGCCTTTGTGCTTCCCGTCCCATTTTTTCTATTCCCTAATTCGAAACTTATTCCAAACTGCAAAAAACATTGTGTTTTCGCAGGTAAATGATGCATGTGGCCCGCGTCCCATTTTTTCCTAATTCCCTAATTCACAACTTATTCCAACATGCGTAAACCATTGTGTTTTCACAGGTAGGTGTGCATGCCTCTCTCGTCCCATTTTTTCCCATTCCCTAATTCGCGACTTATTCGTCTAACGTGGCCCTGCCAATGGACTGTGTCATTTGTGACGTGCTGCTTCTTTTTAAGAGAAAAACATTTCCTTTTTTAATTAGGGGCTGTCTCATGCTGTTCAAGTTGCAAAATCCATTGGCA